TTTACCACCTTAGCGGGTCATGAGGCGCTGGCTCCACCGGGTTTTCTAGAGTCTGCCAGACTAAGTAGCCTGCCTCTGGTCTTCAGATAAATAATTCATTCATCAAACTTCAGATAATCCTTTGTTCATCTAAATTTACAGCTCTGTTAGAAGAGGCTTCTAGATTACAGCAACTTCCCCGCACTGTAATCCCCAATTTTCATGTTATAGCAACACCTTCTGAGGCCGAGGCCCCAAGCGGCATGCTCAGACAAAGTTCTACTGAGCAAAGGGTGCTGTGGGCTAGTCGCAGAGCTTCAAAGACAGGCTGGGGATGCAGCTCAGTGGCAGCATGCTTGCCCCAGCATGTGCAAGCACTGAGTTCAACGTGCAACACCGAGGAGCCAAGAACAAAGCAATACCAACCCCAAAGATGGCTCCTTAACAAAAATAACGAGCCCAAAAGTGACCGAACACCAGCCACGTCTCTGTAGCTCAGGAGATCTTGGGGGAGAGGAGAGCAGGCTTGCTTCCGTGTCTAGCTGAGCCTGAGGAGAAGCTAATCATTTCACAGACATGTCTCATTGGTAGCTCCCGTTCTTCACCTCCAACATGGATGGAAATAAACTGCTTTAAGATTGCTCAGAGGCACAGAAGGAGTTAGAAGTGGGAAAGGATATGAACGCAGAGCCAGAGTGAGTGGTCTGTGTCAACTTTCTGAACTCCAGAGTCATTCAGCTCAGTTGCATACTGTTGGGCTCGCAATGGAAGGGGAGCCTCGGCCACACACTGCCTCGTGTTCCTCATATGTCCAACAATCTGAGTTATAATTCCACACGGAGTGCTTTAATGTATTCTCTAAGGTTTATTTGTATTTTAAATTACGTGTGTGTGTGTGTGTGTGTGTGTGTGTGTGTTTACACATGCATGGAAGTGCCCACTGAGGCCAGGGATATCAGATGCTCTGGAGCTGAAGTTACAGGTAGGAGTGAGCAGTTCAATGCAGGTGCTGGGAACAGAACTTGGGGCCTCTGGAAAGGCTGCATACACTCGTAACTGGGGAGCCATCTCTCCAGCCCTATATATTCTTTTCTTAGCAGAGAAACAGGTGCTACATAATTCCATATAGGGCATCATCATAAGGCATCAGTTTTAAATTAATTACTTTAAAAGTTCATGTATATGTGTACCTGTTTATCTCTGTACCACATGCTTGCAGTACTTACTGAGGACATAAGAGGGAGTCTGATCCTCTGGAAGAGGCATAAGAGGAGGCTGTGCCCGATATAGGTGCTGAGAACTGAACCCTGGTCCTCTGTAAGAGTGGGATGTGGCTGGGCCGAGGTGGTACATGCTTTAATCCCAGCACTCAGATGGCAGAGGCAGGTGGATCTCTGTGAGTTCCAGGGCAGCCAGGGCTTCACAGAGAAACCCTGTCTCCAAAAAAACAAAGACAAAAACAAAACAGAAAAGAGCAGTATGTGCTCTTAACCACTGAGCCACCTCTCTAGTCCCAACATCTGCTTTTTTCTTTTTAAAGATACATATATAATATGTATGCGCCTCTTGGCTATTTGGCCTACTCCAGCATCATGGCTGGATCTTGGAGACGTTTTTTCTGTGTTCCCGCCAGACAGGCTGGACCTCAGTTGTGGCCTATTTCTCATTCTCTGACAAGGTGACCGGACGGTAGGCAAATGAGGATGCTTTTAAACTCTGCAGGGCTGAGGAGACATTCCTGAGGTTGGGGTAACAGAAGCGTGTGAGACGGTAATGACACGCTGCGAGACAAGCTCTGCCACAGTGTTATTTGAAAGGAACTTGAACTTTCAGAAGGATCTCACTGAAGAAAAGTAAAATGAGGCAAACGGCAGAAAATAGCAAGGCTGCCGTGAAAGGGCCCGGGCATCTTGATGACTTGAGAATGTCAAACTCAGAGAGAAAATGACAGGAAGAGAACAGGGAAACTGGGGGGCGCCTCACTCCTAGAGCCATGAGCATCATTAGATGATAGGTGACCTTTAGGAAATTAAAGTCCTTAGGAAAAGAAACCTGGTATTTGGCAAAAGGGTTAAAAGATTTATCAAAATATTTTATCTCTAGAATCACCCTTGAAATAACTTGGAAGCAAAAAGAATCAAGTGTGTTTACAGACGGAGAAACAGACAAAGCCCAGAGAGCCATCCTTCTAACTGGTGGACAGCCACAAACTTTCAGATGACTTGCACAATCATGTGTATGATATGTGTATGTGGGGGTGTGTGTGCATGCATCTCATGGCATGTAAGTGGGGGTCAGAAGACAGCTCTGGGGAGTTAGTTCTCTTCTTTTTCTTTCCACTTTTTTGTAGGTTCTGGAAATCAAACTCAGGGCCTCAGGCGTAAGCAGCAAGTACCTCTACCTGTTGAGCCATATCGCTGGCTCCTGCGCACCCCATCTTTTAAAAATCTCTGTGTAGCCCAGCATGGTGGCATATGCCTCTAATCTCCACACTTGGAGGTAGAGGCAAGTGGGTCTTTGTGAATCTGAGGCCAATCTAGTTTACACAATGAATTCCAGGACAGTCAGGGGTATGTAGTGAGACCTTGTTTCAAAACAAACAAAAAAAGCAAGTAAAGAAAATAAAAATCTTTGTGTGCAGGTACGCAAGTATGGAGGTCAGAGGACAATCTTAGGGGTCACATAATCCCCCACCCCAATGTTGTTTGAGACAAAATCACTTGCTCACTGTAAACCAGGCTGGCTGACCTGTTAGCTTCTGGGAGTTCTGTTCCTGCTTCTCATTTTACCATAGAAGTACTGGAATTACAGATGTGTGCTCCCACATCCGACCTTAGGTGGGTCTGGGTATCCAAACTCTGGTCTTCATGTTTTTGGGTTGAGCACTTTACCCTATGAGTTATGCCTCTCCCCTTTTACTACGTGTTCCTAAGCAGGGGTGTTTGTGAAGACAGTACGCCAAAGGCCCAGCAGAGCTTGAATTCTCAATTTGTAAGCTTGAAGGAGTCAGAGGCTCCTCCATGACTTGATCTCAGTTTAACTGTGGGAAGTCGGGATACCTGAAACCCACAGCCGTGTCTGCTTTCTTCACCTCAAAGCTATTGCCAGATGCACCTTCTAAAATTGAGATCCTGATCTAGGGAAACAGGTTGATTAGTAAAGTGCTCACGATCTAGCCTGAATTCAGTACCCAGAACCCACATAAGATAAGTGGGGCACAGTAGTTAATAGTGATGCTTGTCACCCTAACGCTGGGGAGGCAGAGACAGGAGGAACTCTCATGTTGACTGTCCAGCTGGCCTAGCCTATTTGGTGAGCTCAGGGCCAGTGAGAAACTCTATCTAAAAACCCAAAAGCAAACATAACCAAAAATCCCAAAGGTGTGGGGTGGAGAGTTAACTCAGCAGTTGGAAAGTTCCTCCTGCTCTTGTAGGACCTGGGCCAATTCCTAGCACCCACATTGTGGCTCACGTGACTCCTCTGACCTCAGGGTCCTGCATGCACATGGTGCACATACATATACACTCAGGCACACACACATACATACATGTAAAATAAGTAAATAAATAAATAGCCCCACCAGGTAAACAGTACCTGAGAAATGATATCCAATTTTGACCTCTGGCTTCTACATGGACACATATAAATATGCACACACATACATACACTCATGTATAAACATGTACTCATACATATATATGTAAATAAATAAATGCATAATCCTCAGTGGTTTTCCAACCACCTATGCCACAGGGTCTGAACTCTGCACCAAACCGTGACAGCCAGACCCCACCTCCTTAACAAAAGTCATATTCTAACATCAAATATAGGAAGATTGGATTTAATTCTCTCCTGAATATGTCACTGACACCTTGGTCCCATGAATCTGTTTCCTTATGGTTCAAATGCCAGATAGTTCTACACTCCAGTCATCCCACTGGACTCTATACCCCCTATAATGCTCCTTGAGTTAGTGGGCCAGGGAAGGGGTAGGAGGAGAGCAGGCCAGGGACCTGGTTCCCTGAGCAGCAGTGACTGGGAGGGGGACTTGACAGCTGTGACCTCTGCTACCCTATCACAAGGCAGGGCCTTACCTTTCTTTCCACTTGCAGCTGCTGGCTTGATGCCCAGCACAAGAAAAGTCTCCCATAAACAGGGGTTTTTAAAATTTATTTCTTGGGGTTCTGGAGATAGAACCCAAAGCCTTGCACACATCAGATAAATGCTACCACTAAGCTCTAGTGAACATAGTTTTTTTTAACTTTCAATTGCAAAATGCATATTTTAAACAAAATCAAGGAATGGATTTATAGCAACCAACCACAATGTACAATTTATTATTATTATTATTATTATTTTCCAATAGCTGCTCTAGGACTATGCTGCCTAGTTGCTTAGACAGGGTCTCATGTAGGCTGGCGACAAACTCCCTATGTGTCTGAGGATGCCTTTGAAACCCCGATCCTCCTGCCTCTAAGTCTCAAGTGCTGAGATTACAGGCGTGTTCCAGCATGTCCAGCATCGACCTTTCTCCTTTAGAGTCAATACACAGATACATTTGAAACACAAAGACACATGTAAAAGTTTTGCAACTGTAACGTGTATATGTGTGTATAAACACCCAGAAAACCTTGTAGCTAGGCTAACCTAAGCTAACGTTTCTGTGGAATCATCATTAGTAAATTATTTTAACAAATAATAATAGTTACTAAAACTTCAGATACTGCAGTACAGTTCCCATCTGGTTCTATGCGCTGGGCAAGCACTGAGCTATATCCCCAACCTATTGCCTCCAGTTTTATTGCAACGTTGAAGAGAAAACATGATCAACAGAGTGTACCAGGATACCAGGGCTACACTGAGAAACCCTCTCTGGAAAAACAAACAAACAACCCCTCCAAACAAACAAACAAAAAAAAAAAGAAGAGAAAAGAAAACATGAACGATTTTGACCCCATTTCCAATGCCAGGTAACAAACCCATAAGCCGCTTGAACGTTTATGAATCTGCTGGGACGTTACCTTTGTTTCCCGGAGAAGAAACTGCAGGTCGCGCCCACTGAGAATGCCGTGATTCTTCACGTAACTGGGAATGTTCTTTGTGCTGGAGCCGTAAACAGTGGCATGCACTTCCATGTACGTGTGAATGATATCCAAGTAGATTTTCTTATTCTAGAGAGGGGACATGAGCAGAAAGTGCATTAGTGAGACTACCTGCATGGGAGGTCGGAACCTCTGGGGCGAGCGACAGGGCACAGAGACAGGAAAGGCCAACGCTGAGATCTTAGCCACATGGCCTAGGGATGGAGACATGGCTCGGAAGGTAAGCATGGCAGCCTGCTTGCAATCATACGCTAGGAAGGCAGGAACAAAGGGTCTCGAGGGTAAGCTGACCAGCTAGACTAGCAGAATCAATGATCTCTGGGTTCAAGTGAGAGACTCTGTTCTCTAACTTGGTGCAGAACGATCAAGAGGACAAGGATGTCAGCCTTCATATGTAATCCCCCGCAATGCATATATGTACAGGTATGCATAAGTGTGCCCACACACATGCAAACCCATACACATGCATACATATATATGCTGCAGCGACACATATACACATGAAAAGCAGGAATCTGTCTGGATCTTGAGGGTAGAAATAGTCATATTGCTACTGTACAAGTCTGTAAACAGAACCATGTTGTGTGTGTATACATACATACATATATATATATAATTAATATATAAATATTACAGAATAAAAACAGTTATAGCCAAGGAAGTATCATCCTTGTTTTGAGAATCGCTAGGAACCTAATGTATTGCTTTTGGCTTGCTCTGATTTTTGGGAAGGAAGTTTTGTGTGTGGTGTGGCTGGGATGAAGGTTTGGAGAAGGCAGTCAGTTGGACTGGAATATTTATCCAGAGCTGTTAAGCTGTCTCCAGGGAATACAAACATCCCCCGCTCGCCAGATTTCTTGTGATGATTAACTCACGCTGTTAGGACTGCAGCCCACTTCTTTCTGATGCTGGGCAAGAGGACGGTTTCTCACAGTCCGTACCGATGGGCCCAGCAGCCAGCGAGACTACCCAAGTGAGCCGCAAGAGACAGAGAAGTGAAGGGGAGCTGTGAGGTGCTGTGAAGCTGTGGGGAGCACGCAGAGTTCTTATTGGAAGCAAAACCAAAGGTCCCACATCTGTAGGCTCAGGTTTCCAGGTTCCAAAATTGGAACCACCTGTGCCAAGGAAGCACGCTCACTTTCACTTCCCCTGCATGTGTGTGTGTGTGTGTGTGACTGAGTTGTACAAGCGGATTTTGTGTGGCACGCCCCCTCCCCTTTCTTTTTAATTTTAAGGATCCAAGCTCTATAATGGTTTCCAGTTGTGCCAGAGTAGGACATGCATTTTCCTATTCTGAATGTCTTCCCCTCCCCCGCCCACACACACATTAGGCAAATCTAATAATAGCCAGTTTGTGACCAAAGACTGTTACAGAACTTAGAGAGAGAGAGAGAGAGAGAGAGAGAGAGAGAGAGAGAGAGAGAGGAGTGGTGGGTGGCCCTAGCAGCCCAGAGTGCAGAGAAGTGGACTTGAACCCTAATGAAGCTGGTCTAAGCTGGTCTAAGCCTCTCTGTGTGCCATCCCTTCTCCTGTGACTATTACACAATGCCTGGACTTTGGAGGAAACATTTCAGAAGTATTCGTGAACAAAGTCCAGCTAAGTCACGTTAAAATGACTCATTTTGTGCACAGAGTAACAGTCAGTAATAAGCAGCCTTTGGCTAGCCTATGAATAAAGCAAACGTCTGAACCGCAGGCTCGATCCTGAGCCATGCATGCTTGGTGTGCCCGTAAGTGGCTGAGCTTATTTATGGTCTCAGAGATGTGGTAGCTTACCAAGCAAGAGTGGAACAGTTTATCAGCCCCAACTTCTTTTTTTTTTTTTTTTGCTTTGAAATTTAGAAACAAGTTTATTTAAGATCTGAAATACAATTCCTAAAATATCAACTTTTCAGAAAACTGTGGCTACACACTAATGCATTGACTCTATCATGTTAGAACGTGCATTAGACTCAAATACAAAAGCCCGACTTCTTACTTCAAGCCTGAGAAAGCCCTGTTTAGGATCCTCTACCTCCTGTAAGTTAACTGGTAGGAGTCTAGGATATAGGTGCCTGTACTGAGCATCTAGTAAATCCTGGTCCCCTTGTCTTCTCAGAGCCCCATTCCCTGGGAAGTAGGCAGGGGGCTCTGTAATCCCATTGACTTCCCTACTGGTCAGCCCAGTGGAGACTAAGTCCCAGGGCAGCTAGCAGTCCCAAAGAGCCTGCAAGATCCTCCCCAGCATCCAGACCGTTCAACACAGACGGCTAAGGATCAAAGGCCACTCAGTGCTGGAGTCAGCACTAACAAGGTGAAGGTAGGAAGGGGGGTAACTGGGCAGATGGGAGGCAAGCCAAGGGGCTCAGGGACCATCTTAGAACAAGGGAGCAAGACAGATACACAGAGAGAAATGGATGATGAAGAGGAGGAAGGGGAAGGATGGGGAAAGAGGAGGAAGGGGAAGGAAGAGGAACAAGGAGGAAGAAAAGGCCAAGAATGAGGAAGAAGAGGAGGAGAGGGAGGAAGAAAGGGAATAGAAGGAATGTGAGAAAAAGTGGAGAAGCAGGTTTGGGGATCTATCTTAGTATTAGAATCTGCATCTCTAGCCGTGCCACCCTACATGAGAGAAGAAAGAAAGAAAGAAAGAAAGAAAGAAAGAAAGAAAGCCAGTTCCTAAACTTAGCCATGGCCACCCTATGCCCTATATTCCTGAGTCTCTAGATACCTATAACAGCAATGGTGCTAGACACCCCAACTCTTCTCAGACCCCCCAGTTTTCACTTGAGTCACTTGGGGCAGATTCTAATCATGCAAAAGAGGCTCTCCGGACAGTCTGCGGGCTTTGAAGTGGGGACTGGAAGTAGATGCAGGCATCTGCCCCTCATGCACAAAGAGGCTTTTCCGCTAACAACCAGCTGCTGACTGGGGAGGCCCTAGCAGGGGCTGAAACAAGGCGCAGCGCAAAAGGCCCATGTGGTTTCGTTTGAGGGTAAACCCCTTCTTTGCAGGCAGATTTAAGATTAGGATCCCAGACAAAGGCCTGGGAAAGGAAGGCCCTGCGAGGTCACACATGTGCTGTGACCAACTCGAGGAAAGGCAGGGGCTCGCTGATGTGCTCCCAGCAGGAAGGCACAGGCAAGGAGGAAGGCTATGGGAGGGCTCAACAAGTTCATAGAGGCACCTGGGTGTGGTGAAGTCTGGGAAGAGATTCCCCTCAGAGAGGGGATGCCGGCAGATCAGAGGGGGGAAGGCTTCAAGCAGAACTAACCTTTGAATTTGACGTGACAGATAACGCTACCTCTCTCTGCTACAGTTTAGTCACACATAAATACCTTGACATCATTTAGGATGTCAGCTGTGATATGGTATATCTGTCATCCTTTGGAGAGTCACATGTTAATGACATCTTTTGCTGGACCTTTGGAAGCAATTAGGATTACAGAAATTGAGATCTCATCATAGCTAGCCTTGTGGCAGTTTTGTAGAAACCTGGGAGACGAAGCCATGTTTCTGTTCCAAATAGAGCTGCTCTCTCAGACAGCTCCCTGCTGAGACTAAAGACCTGACAGGAAGCAGCTTAAGCAAAGAGGAGTTGAGTTTGGCTCATAGTTGGAGGGCATATAGTCTGTCACTGTGGGGAAGGCATCATGGCAGGGGTGGGAGGTGCTGGTCACACTGCCTTCAGTCAGTCAGTAATCAGAACAGCAAGTTGGGCCAGGTTGTAAATCCTTAGGGCTCACCCTGGTGACCCACTTTCTTCAGTGAGATGCCACCAGAATGCCAGCTGGGGACCAAATGAACCTATGGGGGAAGGGAGAAATCTCAAATTCCAACCACAGTATCTTCCCAGATGAAGGCCCACTCAATGCTGCAGGAGCCTGAGAAGTATTTCTGGTTCATTCAGGACTGAACCTGAAGTAGTCCCCAGGCACACTGTGGCCTCATCAAACACAAGAGGCTTAACCTGAGGATGACTTGCCTTGCTCTACCAGGCTCCCTCATCTACTCCTGACCTCTGTGACCGGCACCAATCTCCTAGGAATCTCAACCACATCATACATATTGTCTGTATACCCTTGAAACCCTTAGTGAGCCAGTCCACATGCCAGACTCCTCCCTAGTCAGAGATTAGGGACAGATGCCTGAGCCCACCCCAGTCCCTGCTTCAAAGCTCTGATCCTTGGTCAATTGAATAATGCTAGAATTAATACAGCCAGTAGTGTGTGTGTGTGTGTGTGTGTGTGTGTGTGTGTGTGTGTTATAGTGCAGTCCACCTTGAGGCTTGAGGTAGAGTCTCTCAATGGCCTGGGGCTTAATAACTGAGCTAGCCTGGCTGGCCTACAATCCTCAGAAGCCTTCCTGTCTCCACCTCCCTGTCCCAATCGTAGGCCACTGCACCCAATTTTTTAACGTGGGCTCTGGGGACCAGATTCAGAGTCTCTGCCTATTTGGCAAAGTACATGACTGCCTGAGCTATTACAATGAGTGTCTTAGCAGACCTCACCATAGCTCAAAAGGTGTGACTATGTCAAGGAAGGACCAGTGTCAAACTTCATTACAAAATAACTACTACGTCTCAATGCTTCATTTGAAAAAAAAAAAAATTAACCATGGGAACTAATGTTAGGCATATGGTTAGTGTTTATACATGTGGGTGTTTGTAGATCAAGTCCATAAGTTTGCACAAGGATGATCTAAATTCACTTCCAGATGCTGGGTACTGAGGAGTGATGGTTTTCAGGGGTGGACACATCCTGACTAATAACTGTAATATATAATCGCTACATTCAAACACCACCAGATCTCAACATCTGTAAATCGGGGTAGCATTTGGAGGTCAGCTATGATTTAATAGGTCTATCAATAGTTCCGCCTTGGGAATTCACATGTTAATGGTATCTGGAGGTGGAGGATGTTTGGGGAGTAATTAGGATTAGATGAAGTCTGAGGGGGTGGGGAGGTTATCCCCATGACGGAATAGTGGATTTATAGAAAGGGGCAAACAAACCTGAGCTAGCAGGCTTGCTCTGTGTAGCTGCAGGAAACCCCTCACCTTGCTATGATACAACGAGAGGCCCTTGCCAGAC